TAAACTAATTTTTCTAAATTATATTTTCCAAAACTATATTTCTTTTCTTTTATTGTCTTGAAATAACTTAAAAACTTGTCAAAAAGCATCTATTTTAATATATCTGATCTTCTTAAACAGCCCAAACTAAGGAAAATCACCCAATTATATCATTTATTTGATCGTTTGCATTGATTTTCTGCACGCGCATAGTACGCGCGCGCTCTACGCTGTTTGCTAACGTTTTCTTGTGCTTTTATTATGTTCGAATGTTTAAATCTGCCCTCAAGATGACAATGTAGGAAAATGTTTTGGAAAATAAATGTAAAAAATACTCCAGAAAGTTGAACAAATTACTGCTTCAATTTCCTGTCGTATTTGCCAAGCTTTCGACGTGCACATTCATATGCAGAGTCGAAATAACGGGAAAACCCCAAAAACGTAAGCAAACAGCGTAGAGCGCGCGCAGTAAATGCGCGTGCAGAAAAACAAATGGTTTAAAAATAGCATCAAACTGTGCACATGATGGTTGAACGCTATATAGGGGAAATTCCTTCTCTTAGTTCATTTTCTCTTGTGCAAATTAATCTAAAATATAATTTTCAAAACTGTATTTTTTTTCTTTTACTATCTTGAACAACTTTATGGTTAAAGACCAGTGATCAATTACGTCCAAGATTTTAGTTAATTTCGTAAAAATGTCTTGCTTCTTACAATTTCCTGGGGTTTTTGCAAGATGCGCGATTCAAGAGCTATTCAGGGATCTATCAAAACAACACCTGATAAATCGGGATCTTAAGGACGGGCCACTAGTTAGTTGATGGGGGTTGCGTAAATCAAATCCCCCCAAAAATATCGAGCAAGCACTTAAACCTCAAAAAACATCGTGCAACATCTCCTGCTAGAAGGAAAATATTTAACTGTACGCAAAAAAAATAGCGTGCAAGGGTTGAGCCCAAAAAAATAAATATCGTGCAACCAAAATGCCTGTCTCTAATGGTCCATCCCATATTTAGCACGAGCTTACATGTTGACTCGCAACGGTGATACAACAGCGCAATATTACTCCGCGTAATCTGCCTAAAGACAACTTCGTAGCAAAATATATGAAAGTTTGCGAAAAGCATCACTTTAGCCCTGGAAAATTTAGCCTTGGCGACCCACTAAGGCATGCCTCTCTTCAACACAACATGGAAAACCAGGCTACAAAAGCTCCAAAAGTTGACATTCAATTGAAATTTCGATATGTCCAAGCGCCGAACGTTTAGATAGTCTGCGTAGCAGCGCTTTGAGGGGAGGGGTAGGAAGGGAGGGAGGAGGCGAATCGTCTTTAGGCGCGATTACACTGATAAATTTTTCTAAGCGTTCGCTAGGGCATATCTAAATTAATTGAATACGGACATTTTTACCAAATTAACTAAAATCTTGGACTTCGTATTATTAAATTCACTTAGTGTTTTGAACTAAATTGTTCATTTCGCAGGGCTGTCAACCCCCAAGATATTCAAATCTGGAGAATTGATAGGTAAGGGACATGAAAAGACGTCATTCACTTTGTAACATTTGATGTGATTGGTTTATTTCTGACCAATCAGATTATTGCTTATATTACAATGGCCTGCTTGCAAGAATAGTTTATCAGGAATGTTTTCATTTTGTTAGCGATGTAAAATAACACTGTGAAAGTCGAATCTCACAAGAAATGGTGAGCTTCGGCGATTATCCGTGAGATTTGAGACTCTAATCTGGAGACCGGGAGATACGGTCCAAAATCTGGAGACTCCCGGTTTATCCGGGAGAGTTGACAGCCCTGTAATATTACTACCCAAACACCCTCGAGATGTCATCTTTAAAACTTAATAACCCACACATATAGATTGAAGCCTTAGAAAGAAGACAAAAGCACGTATAGCAATGCCACTGAGATAACCGTAGCCCTAACATGCGTGCGGCCATGTTTGCTTTGCTAAAAGCACCGAAAGGCTCATGGAAGACTCTCGGATTTTGTTTTTGACTTTTCGGATTTTGTTTTTATGGAGTTTTACGTTAATGTTTTTACAATTTTTAAAATCAAAGATTGAAAAGTGATTAACAAAATCCGAAAAGTGAAAATAAAAATCCAAAAGTGAAAAACAAAATCGTGAAATCGTGATTGTTTTTGACTTTTCGGATTTTGTTTTTATGGAGTTTTACGTTAATGTTTTTACAATTTTTAAAATCAAAGATTGAAAAGTGATTAACAAAATCCGAAAAGTGAAAATAAAAATCCAAAAGTGAAAAACAAAATCGTGAAAAGTCAAAAACAAAAACCAGCGGTGACCCTCCTTGAGTTTCCTTCCTTACAAATAGTCGTGTTTATTCCCAGCGCGATATTCCAAAATGGCGGACAATTTTCGACACACCCACATTTTCCTTCTATTAAAAACATGCTACCTCAAACCTACATAAATTCTGTTTAGGACCCTTTTTCATCACCGTTTTCTTTTATTTCTATCATAATAAAGCATATTGACGTCAGAATATATTATTGTAACCCCGTAGCCCCTTTTTATAAACGAGGAAAGCAGTGGTAAAACGCGCAATGTTTTTTTTCGAAATAGTCAATTTTCCTCGAGTTCATGCAGCTCAAAAATGAAGATAGCCTTTTACATTTCATCTTTGGAGCTCTATTATGAGCTAGCTCTGGGGCCCGAAATTCGAATGAGTTAAAATTAAACTGAGTGAAAAACCAATACTGCAGCACTTGAAAGAACACCTCTAAGCACTAAAAGTTGTTTGTTTTAAGGGGGATTCTAGTAAAAAATTAAATTTTAAACTTCAGTTTCAAGTCCTGTTTGCGTTTGATCATAAACGATCAAGGTTGATTACCTGGATAAATAAAACGCCGGCCTTCCACTAACAATAGTTAGAAATCTCCATATATATCATTTTAGCAATTATTTGCCGAAGGCGAAGTGAATATCGGGCGGGAATATTTACCGAGACGCGAGTCTTCGAGCGGCGAGCCGAGGTAAATATTCTCCATATTGACTGAGCCTGAGGCGAATAATTGTTCTAGTATATACCAACTTGTGTACAGAGTAACTTATTTTTGTATACAATAATTCAATAAAAACAAACAAACAGAAACTTTTAGCTTGCGTGACTTGCAAATTCACGCAAAACTTTTAGCAAAACTTTTAGGCCATACTTCGTTGCCCTTTTAGTATTGATAGGAATGGCATTTACTTTCATTTTTTTTCAATTTACTCATCTGACATTGTAGCAAAACGATTGCCGGCAGATGCCATTTTGTTGCCGACTCAATATTCCGAGATACAGAGGTGAACATCGTACAATATTCACCTCCAATTAACCAATTAGCGCGCGCGTTCTTAGGAAGTACACAAGTTGGTATATGCTAAAATAATATATTACATAAACAGAGAACATTATGGGAATTGCTTTGCACGTTTTTAATCAACGAGTTGTGAAATGCCATGTACTGAAACGAACGAGCATCGGTACGACCGAGTAAGTCTTAAGGCACTTTACAACTTGTGAATAAAAACCAAAGAAAGCCCCTTGCATGAAGCAATCTCACTCTATTTCTATATCATCATAGCATATTTATAGAGTTTTCAGAACTGTCAAGGTATATATTAAAAAATGAGACATCTCAATAAAGCATTCTTAAACCATAGGTTTTTTTAGTCACTGATAGAATATCAGTACTCCATTTAATAACATCAAATTTGACAAAATGTTAATTTAAAACTAAAATGTGTTACACCTTTTTATAATATGTTCAATACGATCATGGCATAGGCCTCTATCTGCATAATAAGGTTCCCGCCCTCACATTAATGGCATACTATAGTTCATCTATTGTAATTAATAATCATTACTTCAAAAAACCCATACCTGTTACATAAATAAATTAAAGTATACCTTACATAGGGTGAAACATTCTCGTGAAGTTCAAGCTTGAGTTTAATTTGACCCTGAAATTTCTTTTAATTTTAGTACGTGTTTCTATTCTAAAACCTATTTTCTACCTATCAGGTTTATAGATAACGTAAACTCATATAATGGAAGAAATAGAAAACGCGTGCWCGTGCTGTGCTGAAAAGCACGCGGGGTTGGTAGAACACGAGAGAAGTTCTATAGGAAAAGCACAACGCGAAGAGCAGTGCTTCTCGAGTGTTCTGGCAATTCCCAAGTGCTTTATAACTCCACCGGCATCACAGCAAGCAAGGTTTTTATTTCTTTTATAAAATACGAGTAACGATAAACATGCGCGCGAGTGCTGTGTATTCTCATAAAGCTATCGCTCCAAACCAATCAGTATACTTTACGAGTACATATATGTAAAACCTAAAGAAATTGAGCCTGTATGCTGGACGCGAATTGTAATGCAAATTAGCCATTCTGTCTTCCAGGGGAGAACATTGCTAGAAGAGACCATTCGTAAAAGATTAGCTTGTCCTAGAGATTTAATTTTATTCTAAATATTGTTTAAAACTATCCAGAGATAATAATAATCGGCATGTAGTTTTGGAATTTTTACATAGTCCCTGATTTTACGAATCGAGTAAGGTTAATTTCAAAAGCCGTTTATTTTCTACACTAGTGCCCAAAAGCAAATTGGCGAGTTATTTCATTTATCGGAAAAAATGTAATACAAAATTACAAATCTCCTAATTTGAAGTTGTCTGTCCTGGCTTAGCAATCTAATGTGCATTACAATGCGAAAACCATCAAGGCGTGTTTCGTGAATATAGACTGATCCCATTATAGATAACAACTAAGTTACATCTTTTACCATTTTGTGTCCCGCCACAAAGCTAAATAAGTTTGTCAAAAATTTCAGTCAGAAATATTCAGGAATCCATGGCCATGAGCGAAACAAAAATAAATATGTACCAATGTCAACTTCTCAAGTTTTACAATTCTGTAAAATTTTCAAATAAATGCATACAATGTACTGTACTTGTACAATGTACGACTTCACTTCCTAYCTGAATAAGTTAATTAAAGATTAAATTACATTAAATTATGTAGCTATATAATAAGAGTATACTATAGATTACCAATCCTAACTGAACCTTACATAATATAATTAGTAGTTGTAGCTATCAAAATATATCTTAAATAGAATAGTAGCCCACTCTTAATCGTATAAACTTTTTTTTTAACTCTCAGCATTGATTGTACCTGAAATAGTTCAATGGTAACCTATTTCTTGATTGGAGCGTTGTGTTTATTACGTCAGGTTAGCCTTCATTAAGGTATACAAAAAGCATCTTTATTTTGCTCATGGTTTACTTAAGAGTAATGATTTGTTTTCACACAATGACAAACATTGTTACCATAACAACCACTACTAAATGTATACGATAAAAGTATAAACTATTATAATTTAAAGATGCATCACTCAAATCAAGAAATATTTTACCATTATTTTTCAACTAATCACCTGAGGTATAGTCACAAAACCCGTGAAATAGATATTAGACTAATACACATTAGTAGAACCTAATTCCATTGTTTTTGTCTATATTTGACTATTACTCGTTGACTAGTATTATTTATTTCTTGATTAAATGCCTTCACTCTAGTATCAATACCGAGAATATTSAATCATGAATTACTTGTATGTGCACTTTTAGTCAAACAATGAAAAGTTGTTGCTAAAACACATTACCTGAAGGCCAGAGGAAATAGAAATTTCAAGGAGATCAAGAGTAGGCTACATTGACTATCAGGTTGCAATTGTAATTGGTTGAGAGCAACCTTTTTTTGAATATAGTAAAACAGTAGTTAAGTACTTCATATCTCAGGTTTCATATAGACAATAATAGATTAGAATATGAACCCATTTGTCTGTACAGTGTGCATTTGATTACAGCTATCAAAGCTAGTACCGATGCATGCATGAAACTATGAGATGCAATTACAATCTATGAATGGTAATAGGTCGTTTGCATGATGACGTCATCTATATTTCACTACCAGAATCGATCGGTCGTAGTACACTTTCATTTGTTCAGTTAATCAACACCAGTTGTCTTAATATTCTCATGAGGAAATTCATTCTACAAGTGGGAGTTAGCAAATCTCCTTTTGTGAGAATGATTGCTTTTAACTGACATATTATTTTGCATCTATGTTAGAATGAGTCATGCCAAACTGAAATTTTTGCGGAAGGAGGAAAAACCGGAGAATCCCAAAAGAATCTCGAAGCAAAAGAGAGAACCAACGAGAAATTCTACTCACATATAAATATACAATGGGTCCACACACATTTCCAGAAAATGAACTGCAGTTAACTGCAGTTAAATGCCGACACTATACGGTATATACTATATTTAACAGATATGATTTAGTAAGCTCATACTTTGTACAGTCAGTTGGGTTCATACTGTAAACTACATGCGTGATACGAACATGTACTTGCCTATATTGTTTATTAAAAAAGCATGTACATACTTTACAATCATGTACATCTATCTAGAACTAGCTTTAATAAAAGTATTACCAGGAATGGCCTAGAAACCCGGATTAATATGGCAATATGACTGCAGGGATGAAAGCAAAATGTAGATAACCCACAACGAAGCTAACAAAATTGATGATGCAATTTTGTGATTTCTTGGGCCTCCAAGCTCACCTCCTATCTTTTTATTTCTACGTATCATCATGATTGTAATTGCCACCAATGCAGCAATACAAAAGAGCATTACTGAAAAACCTAAGGAACCCCCATCAACTTTAAATTCCCTTCCATTAGCAGCATGATATATTGCAGCTACAGACCATGCCAAGCCGATTCCAAGGAACACATTAACAGAATTACTGCCAGTCACATTACCCACCGAAGAATCAGCAGTTTCATCATTTATTGCTGCAACTTTGCTGGCAAAAGTATCTAAAAAGAAAATATATGGGATAAATGTATAAGATAATGTATGCATATATATAATACATAAAACATTGACAAAACTATATGAAATAGTATTATACCTAGTATATACCTCGATTATATATCGCGAAATTTCGAGATTTCGAAAGTCTAAAATGTCACGACACTTAAAATTCGCGATTCTGCTTTACTTATGGGGTTGTAATTGTGTCAAGGGCGGATCCAGGGGGGCGAAGCGGGGCTTCAGCCCCCCTTCAGCAGAAAAACAAAAAACCAAAAAAAAACTGAAGAATTAGATGCTTTTTTTATTATTTTCCGTCGTGTTGACAAAAGAAACTCAATTAGCCCCCCTAAACTCAATTAGCCCCCCCCC